GCTTCACAGTAGAAATGCGAATGGGACAGAGGTAGCCAAGTAATCGACTTTAGTACAAAGTCTTCCACTGGTAAAATACCTGTCGTTGTTTTAAAGTTTTACCTATATAAATACATTTTAATGCCGTATTTTTGAAATGAAAATGAGCTACAACGTCCGGCGTTTTATTTTTTCTTATGCAGACTATAATAGCCAACTTTCACAGTTGGAATTGGAAACTATCACTAAGTAAGTGATAATGTAACTTTCTATAGGTGATATAATTTTGAAAATCGGTTGAGCAGTTTTTTAATTTATCCATTACAAACAAACAGATAAATAAATATACAGAAAAATAAATATGTTCTTTTCATAATTTCAATACAGATATAAATTGATTTCCGCCATCGCTTCCGCCCCGTATGCCGCGGGTTGTATGGCCCCAAATGGCGATTGCTCACCAATCGACAGTGAACTTGTGGCACTATTAGTCTATTTATATGCGCTCCCTACATTTATTGAATACTCATACTGTTGAAGTTCTGAACTGTTTAATCGTTTGTCGATACATAATAGTATACTATATATTAGTCATACTATACCGGAAATGAAATGTATAATCAGTAATAACTACCGTATTATTGTTTTTAATACAACTTAGAATGGCAAACAAGCTGACGGCCCATCTGATGGAAAGTGGTAACCGTCGCCTATAGACATGAGCAGTACCATGGACATAACAGAGTATACTGTTTCGCCCATGATATCCCCCATGCGTTGCCATTCCTAAGGATTCAGGTGTTATTCCTCTGTACTCAGTAAATTCACGCCATATCCCACCCTTCAAACCGAAACACAGCTATGCAAACACAACTGCTTCACAGTTGAAACACGAATGAGACAGAGGTACCCAAGCAATCAACTTTCGTACAATCTCCCTCTGGTTGTATAAAAAAAAAAGTATTAGTAATACTTTTTAAAGGGATTGTTAGTAATGGAGACTGAGAATCCTATGATATTCGATCTCCTCGCGGTTCCCCGTGGAAACTATCATAGTTAATTCCTGATGAATTCATCATGATGGGCTAACTGGCCTGTTTTCATTCTCATCTATCACCCTTCACTGGTGCTCCGCAAGCGTATCCCGTTAGCGCAGGCGGAGTTACCATACCATTTTCACACATCAAAAAAAAAAACTATAGTATTACTGTTTACTTAGTAATATGAATCATCATCATGATATTAGCCAATAACTGTCCACTGCTGAATATAAGTCTCCCGCTATTGGGGGGTTTTGTCAGTAGTTGCCACGTTTGGCAAACGGGTTGATGAGGATGAGCAATTGATGACAATCGAATGGTAACCCCGGTTGCGCTATCGGGATACGCTGACGGGGTACCAGTGAGGGATGGTAGGTGAAAAAGAAGCGGGTCATTTGGCCCATCGTGATGAATTCATCAAAAATTAATCACGATCGTTTTCAGGGAGTACCGCGTGTAGGTCGACCTGTTAGGGTACTATTGCTGGTAATAGTTCTGTTGGATCTCATTAGTAACAATCCCCGTCCGCCCGATGAAGCAGGTCAGTTAGCTTATTGTAAAGAACTCCACAAGAGTTAACCATTAAGGTTTTCACGGGAAACTGTGTAGAAGTCGACTTAAATCCTTTTCCCCCTGGCAACAGCAGTTATGCTTTGCTGATGTTTTAAGAGAGACGCTAGCGCCTATCTCTCTATCATTAAGTTACCTCAGTCATTTCTTACGAGACACGCGAGAAAGACCCTTTGAAGATTTTAATGGGTGAAAATGGTATGGTAGCCCCGTCTGCGCTATCAGTATACACTGGCGGGGCACCACTGAGAGATGACAAATGAGAATGAAAGCCGGTAATTTAGCCTATCGCGACGAATTCAACTAGAAATAAACACGATGGTTTCCATGGGGAACCGCGTAGAGGTCGACCTGATAGGGTGTATTGCTAGCAATAGGGCCGTTGAAAACCATTTCTAAAAATCCCTTTCCCCCAAGGGAAAGTCCCGTTCAATGCGGGAATCACACAGCAAATTTCAAATTAATTTTAAATACCCAGTATGGCAACGTTGTGCAGTGTAAAAAATAACCTATTTTTTCATGCAACTTAGAATGGTAAACAATCTGACGGCCCACCTGATGGAAAGTGGTAACCGTCGCCTATAGACATGAGCAGTACCATGGACATAACAGAGTATACTGTTTTGCCCATGATAAATTGCGTTGGTATTCCTGAGGACTGAGTTATTATGCCTCTGTACCCTGTAAATACACTGCAATATCCCGCCCTTCAAACCGAAATACGGCTATGTAATCACAACTGTTTCATGGTACAAATACGAATGGGACAGAGGTACCAAAGTCGAATACTTTTGTACAAAGTCTAGACTATCTCTGCTAAAATACACACTCGTCCCATCAAATACAAATATCCCCTAACGATGCACTTCCAAAGTTAACCTACCTTGTCCCACCACCTGTTCCTTAAATAAAATCGGTCAATACCCCCACGCATTGCATGCATGCACTTGTAATGCACGGGACACCAAATAATCTACCAATTTACATTGCTCAAAATACACTGCTTATTATTATAGAAATCCCAAAATAACAACAATACAAAATTGTCAATGGACATTAAAAATAAAATTGGTTCGTAACAACTTGGTAGCGGTATTGGCATTTAATTGAACGAAATCAATGAATGATGGACCCAATTGTAAAGTTAAATTTAACTGTAGTAGTTAATTTTAACTAATGACCGGTAGACAACATTGTAGTTGGCGTTCAAGAGCGGTGACATTGTTTTTTTTTCATTATCAATGTTTGTTAACTAACTAGCTCTATTCCGCAGATTTGGGGGAAAAAAAAGAATTGTTAGTAATGGAGTCAAATAGCCCCATTACTAGCAATATACCCTGTCAGGTCGACCTCCACGTGGTTCCCCCCGGAAACCATCATGACTAATTCTAGTTGAATTCGTCAGGATGGGCTGACTGACCTGATTTCATCCTCATCAGTCATCTATCACTGGTGCCTCGCCAGTGTATACCGATAGCGCAGACGGAGTTACAATACCATTATCACCCATTAAAAAAAATCCGCAGATTTGCTTGTATGAGTTAAAATAAAAAAATACTCTATTTGTTAATTATGATATAATCTATCTGTGTACTAAATTTCATTTAGATCTTTTTTTTTTTATACAACTTAGAATGGCAAACAAGCTGACGGCCCACCTGATAGAAAGTGGTAACCGTCGCCTATAGACATGAGCAGTACCATGGACATAACAGAGTATACTGTTTCGCCCATGATACCCCCATGCGTTGCCATTCCTGAGGACTCAGGTGTTATTCCTCTGTACCCAGTAAATTCACACCATATCCCACCCTTCAAACCGAAACACAGCCATGCAAACACAACTGCTTTACGGTTGAAACACGAGTGGGACAGAGGTACCCAAGCAATCGACTTTTGTACTAAACTACTGAACTGATTTTAACTAAATTAATTTAAAAACTATATCCATTCAGATAAAAAATCAGTTCACAATTGTTAGAGGAATAACACCTGAGTCCTCAGGGATGGCAACGCATGGGCGAAACAGTATACTCTGTCATGTCCATGGTACTGCTCATGTCTATAGGCGACGGTTACCACTTTCCATCAGGTGGGCCGTCAGCTTGTTTGCCATTCTAAATTATATAAATGAAACTGTTATGAGGTAATAAACATAAACTAAAAAGATATACAACTACATTGAAAACTTTCTTTGTTTTGAAGTCGTTTCAAAATATTGTTATTTTTAATTATTTGCATTATTAGTATTAACTAGCAGCCCGTCCCGGCGTCGCACGGGTGGACATTTTTAACATTTCCTTTTACTGCTCTGCTCCCATTGATCGTAGCGTGATGAAAAGTATACTACAACCTGACCAGGAGTATGAAGAATAATTGTACCAAGTTTCGTTAAAATCCGTCGAGTAGTTTTTATTTCTTTAACGAACGAACAGACAGACAGACAAAAATTTTACTGATTGCATTTTTGTCATTAGTATCGATCACTAATCACCCCCTGATAGTTATTTTGGAAATATATTATATTTCATGTACAAAATTAACTTCTCTACAGATTTATTATAAGTATAGATAAGTATTTATGACAACTGAAAGTGTATTTAAATTATGCCATCTTTCCTCAAATAAATATCGAAATCACATAATTATCTACTAATTGATCTATTTAAAAAGATGCACTATAATCGGCATAAGAGACGACTTTAAGATGATATAACAAATATCAATTGAAATAAATATATTCCTATAATATAAATAATATTTTGTTCTGAGCTTCACATAAGTATTTCCGTACAAAACAGTACGAAAACAATTTCCTTAGAAATTTTTATAAAATTATTACGTCATAAAGTGAAAATGTGAATTTTATTAAAATGAAAACAAATATAAGAAGAAAATTTAATGCAATTTTTTTCTTATATTTATTTACGCTTCTATTCATTGGTTCATTAGCGAATCCACATACGAATTACTGCTGTATCTTGTGCTCTCCAAATTTGCCCTGGAAATCGATGTTCTCTCATGAATCTGAAAATAAATTATATAATTATGTTATTAATACAATATAAGTTAAATATATATGAAAACATTAAAGTAAATAAAATTAAAATAAATAACCAAGCCAAAACATCATAATTAGTTACTGCAGACTGCGGCCGCCCAACTCCTGAAAAGGCGCAAGGCGGTTACCGCGCAGCGCGCCTCTTACGGCCGCGTACGATAATCCATTTATAGTTATTATACTATAAATTTATCAATATATCAACCCCATAGGACCTTTATAAGGGATATTCGAGTGCAATTTTTCGAAAAAATACTCGAGAATAACGGGGAGACGCGGGCCGCGGGGGCCGGCGCGCTCGCCATGTATGGAGCGCGGCGTCTGCGCACGCGTCCCCTATATAAGATTCCGCTACCTCTCTCCGCCGCACTCGCAGTCTCGCTGCCGTAGAGTCAACTTCCAGCGCGTCCCGAAACACACACAACTTCCAACATGTGCGACGACGATGTTGCTGCGCTTGTAGTCGACAATGGCTCCGGCATGTGCAAGGCCGGTTTCGCCGGAGACGACGCGCCCCGCGCCGTGTTCCCGTCCATCGTGGGCCGCCCCCGTCACCAGGGTGTGATGGTCGGTATGGGTCAGAAGGACTCCTATGTAGGTGATGAGGCCCAGAGCAAACGTGGTATCCTTACTCTGAAGTACCCCATTGAACACGGTATCGTCACCAACTGGGATGACATGGAGAAGATCTGGCATCACACCTTCTACAACGAGTTGCGTGTCGCTCCCGAGGAACACCCCGTCCTCCTGACCGAGGCTCCCCTCAACCCTAAGGCCAACCGTGAGAAGATGACCCAGATCATGTTCGAGACCTTCAACACCCCGGCCATGTACGTCGCCATCCAGGCCGTCCTCTCCCTGTACGCTTCCGGTCGTACCACCGGTATCGTGCTCGACTCTGGTGATGGTGTCTCCCACACTGTCCCCATCTATGAAGGTTACGCTCTGCCCCACGCCATCCTCCGTCTGGACTTGGCTGGTCGCGACTTGACTGACTACTTGATGAAGATCTTGACCGAGCGTGGCTACAGCTTCACCACCACCGGTAAGCGTGAAATCGTTCGTGACATCAAGGAGAAGCTTTGCTACGTCGCTTTGGACTTTGAGCAGGAGATGGCCACTGCTGCCTCCTCCACTTCTCTGGAGAAGTCGTACGAGCTTCCCGACGGTCAGGTCATCACCATCGGCAATGAGCGGTTCCGTTGCCCCGAGGCCCTCTTCCAGCCCAGCTTCTTGGGTATGGAATCTTGCGGCATCCACGAGACCACTTACAACTCGATCATGAAGTGCGACGTCGACATCCGTAAGGATCTGTACGCCAACACTGTCCTCTCCGGCGGAACCACCATGTACCCCGGTATTGCTGATCGTATGCAAAAGGAAATCACCGCCTTGGCCCCATCCACCATCAAGATCAAGATCATCGCTCCCCCTGAGCGTAAATACTCCGTCTGGATCGGTGGCTCCATCTTGGCCTCCCTCTCCACCTTCCAGCAGATGTGGATCTCCAAGCAGGAGTACGACGAGTCCGGCCCTGGCATTGTCCACCGCAAGTGCTTCTAAGCGTGCCGCTGATGATCGCGCTGCTGCAGCCTGCTGCAGCCGCCGCGGGGTGATAGTGCTGTGTGTTGTGTTGTCTCGTTATGAGTTCGGAACGCAAGCATTTTGTACGTTGTACGTAGTGATACCTGACAGAACTGAACATCTAAATATAACGCCATCTATTGTAATGTAATTTATTTGTAAAATTTATATAAATTTAATTTTCTTTTTTATTTTTATTATATACACGGGATCGTTATGGATCTCAATGCCAATGTAATTAATAAATAAACGGTTAATTTATTTATTTTAATTACATCATTTCTTTTTTATACATACGTTGACTTTGTCTTTTGATAAGAGTTTCCTGAACCCTATTCCCTTGGTGACCGCGTGGCGGTCCGGTGTAGGATTACATATACAAATATTATGAGTCAGGGATATCACACCTGTCTATAAGTAGGTCAGCAATGCTGCCAACATTCCTGAAATCGATTGACGCCTACAATCTTTTTCATATTCTGTAGACAGTGGCGTTACTCGTCATACATGAACTACATATCCCTCGAGCGAGTAAGCTGACCGTAGATACGAAATTAGACGTAGAGGGTACCACACACGAGTCAGAATTAGCCACCAGCTGCACTACCATAAATAGTAAAGACGGCACCCGCGGAGTAAAGCATTTTCTAAATTTATCGGAATCCTGTTCAGTTCTCCGGGCGGCTGTCGCCATCGAAACATGAACCTAGTTAATATGAGATAAGTTTAAATTTCGTGTGTACGCACGTGTTTCCGTAAATACCAGAACGTAGCGAAAGAAGCCATGGCTTGGTTTTTCTATAAATACCCTGACTCCCGGATCGCCCAGTTTACATTCGCCTTCGATGTGTGGGATTGAGACTTGTTTAATCTTTTGTTTACTGTTACGCATTATAACTTTTATAACAGCGAATAGTTACAGCATTATTATTTCATCGAAGCGACACCTAGTGTAGAAGGTTTGGGGATTTGTAGTCTTCGGGATTTTGTTGGAGCATGAAATTGTTTGTGTTGTGTATCCAAGTTGTAATATAATACATGTTACGTATTATTAGTTTAATGAACTCATGCGTAGAAAAGAGAATATGAGCGTATACGTCGTGTCTCTTCTTAATATTTAATATTTTAAAAAATTTTTTCGAATATATTTAGATTGACGATGAATCTTGTAATGCCATTTACGCGAGCAATTTGTTATATCTTTTTAATGCCTATCTTCATTCATAAAGTTGTGAAATTCTCGAAATATTATTCAACGTTTAGTTTCGTATATAACTTGTTACCGACTAAAGACATTTGATTTTGGGGTTTACCGATTGTTGTAGAGAGGCATACGTTCAGCAGCGGATTATGACGATGATTATCTGTTATATTCTGTAAACAATTTAGAGACAAGACTTTAAACTTTTTATCGTTGAATAGTGACTTTAGTTTGGGAATTATTTTATGATTAGACTGGAAGATTGAACCTACAGCTTTATAGGATTAAGTAGGATTATCTCAAGCCTATTTCCAGGTCATTCCATGATGAAACATCATCATTATCATTCGATAATCTCTCATTGCTTATTGCCGAACGTAGGTCTTCCCTATAGGCTGTCATAAAGAATTGTCATAAACTATCTATATTTACTGGATTTTCTTCAATACATTAGAGATCGTCGCTACATTTATTGCAGATTTAAGATCATCGTATGTTGCTTTTGCGTGTACAAGATCATTCGAGAATCTTTTTTCTCAATCAATTATCGATTCATCCAGTTATATGGCTGGCCTATTGTTACTTCATTTTCTTGTATCATGTCTTATATTTCTAATTTGTTGACGTTTCTTGTATTCTTTGAATTCAAATATATTGATATTTTGAGAAAATTAATTCTAGTGCAGTATAGGAAGTCGATAGATGAAGGTGGCGCAAGACGTTCCTTATGCCAGTCTATGGGGTAGTTCTACGTCAAGTGGTAGATAATAAACGGTTTATGATGATGGATGATGACAATTATTTTTATTTATTTAATTTTGTCTTGCTACCATCATTCAATCTTAATTTTTTTTATAGTGGCCCACTAATTTACCTAATAAAAGAATGTATTTTTCATCTATGGACAATAACTTCAAGCGTTGCCATTCCTGAGTAAGGTATAAGACTAAGATAATACATCTACTTGTTGCCATTTTATCTTGCTTTTGTATAATGAAGTTTATGTATTCTTTGAAGGGAACAATAAAGGGTTTTAATTTATTCATATTTATCTTCCTTTTAAACAGTAAGGTTGTTTAGCGATAGAAATTAGGGTTGCCAAAAACTGTTTTTGTTTTTTTTTTATAAAATATCACATATTTTTTCCTAATCGATAAAATCTCCTTCACTTTTACCCAATCACATATTTATGTCACTTTGCTGTGTAGTCTAAAAATGAACGATGAAAAAAGGTAATCCCTTACCCTTAACTCTCTTATTCTTTATATTACGAGTACTACTTTCAGTGGTATATATTTTTTTTTATCTTTACACGGTTTACAAATACTAAAACTGTCCAAGAAAGACCCGAATTTCTCCAAGCCCATTTAGATTTCCGCTAAATATTTCTTTAAGAATTTTATTCTTCTAAAATTTTGTGAACAGAAATTTTCTGCATAAAAGAACTATTGATACCTCATTATTAGGCATGGGTCTCTTTATTGGCCTTTGATGCTAGTAATGAATCTAGCAGTCCTAATAATGAAATATAAGAATATTTGATTATTTATTTATTTTTCTTTACAGGAAAACAAGGGCTACACTAGTGTAGTCACAAGTAGTCTAGGATTACTAACTAAGCCTACTACTAACTTACTAATAGGTCTTCACAAATAGTAACAAAATAGATTAAAGGCACTGTACATGAAGAAACAAAAACCGGAATGAACAAAAAATAAAGGGAACAAAAAAATATGTATACGTATGTATATATGTATACATATACATATATATGTGTATATGTATGTATGTATGTATGTATATTTATTTATATATATTCCGCATGCTGTTGAATAAAAGAACAAATTCGTTGGCGACAATTAGATTTTATTTGACAAAAAGTAAAACAGTCATTTCAGTTCGAACAAAATTCATATCGCTACCTTTAGGTAAATTTAATTGAGTACATAATTAACCTATTCTTATTTTAAAAATAAATACAGATACTCACCCATAAACGATGTTATGTTTATGGGTTATGTTATGTTGCGCTGTTAGACCCCATTACTAACAATCCTTTTCCCTCCTTTTTTATATATTAGCAATATACAAGTCGACCTCCACGCGGTTCTTCCTGGAAACTATTGTGGTTAATTCTTGTTTAATTCGTCACGATAGGCCTACTGACCTATTTTTTGAGGAAAGTAGGTCAGCTATCCCTTCCCTCCCAGTGAAGGTGAGCCTGTCATCCTTTACTGAGATGAGAAGGGATTGTAAGCAATGCGGACTACCTTTCCCATTGCTAACAATATACTCTATCACGTCGACCTCCACGTGGTCCTCCCTGGAAACCATTGTGCTGAATTCCTGGTATACTCATCACGATGGACTAACTAACTACCTTTTCAGGGGGAAAAGAAATTGTTAGGAATGGAGCCTACCAGCTCCATTGCTAGCAACATACCCTATCAGCTCGACCACCATGCGGTTTCCCCTGGAAACCATATTGATTAATTATTATTGAATTTGTCACAATGGGCTAACTAAGCTTCTTTGATCCTCACCTATCATCCCACACTGGTGCCCCGCCAGCGTATACCGATAGCGCGGGCGGGTTACCATTCCATCATCACCCATTAAAAAAGACTCCATCCCCATCCCCCACTAGTAACCCGCCAGCGTAAACCGATAGCGCAAGCGGTGTTACCGTTCCATTTTCATCAATCTAAAATGTATTTAGTTTTTGATACAAATGAGTACAAGAAAGTATTTTTGGCTTCGTCTTTTATAGAATTATGTCAGTGTGCCAACTCTGTATGACAGGCGTTGATAACTATTGAATCACCAAGCTATTCTTAGTGGGTACTTAGCACAAAAGAAAATAATAGTCGACTTCGAAGAAACACTTTGTCAATTGTGAAAATACCTAAAATACCAGTGACAAAGTTACAAGTTCATTATTTATATAATTAAACCTTTTGAAAAAAGCAACTGCTGAGTTTCTTGTCCGTTCTTCTTGGCTGAAATTTGAATTCCGAATGGGTAGTAATGAAAGAAAAATGATTATTCAAAAAAAATAACAGTCGACTTCGAAGAAACACTTTGTCAAGCGTGAAAATGCATGAAGTGACAAAGTTACAAATTCATTATTTATATAATTAATCCTTTTGAATAAAGCAACAGCTGAGTTTCTTGTCCGTTCTTCTTGGCTAAAATTTGTGTTCCGAATGGGCGGTAATAGTCGACTTCGAAGAAACACTTTGTCAACTGTGAAAATGCCTCAAGTGACAAAGATACAAATTCATTATAATAATAATATTATTATAATGAATTTGTACATATAATAATAAAATTTATTTGCTCGAAATGCGATAATAATAATGGTCTTAAATATTATTGAGCTACACATTTCGCCTAATCTAAAGGCATGCATATTTTTATTTCAGCACATGCTAATTACTTTTTAGTGGCTTACGTATATTAATAGCCTAGTTGGAGTCAGTCTATAAATAGTGGCAGCATTATTTATATATCTAATTAAACCTTTTGAAAAAAACAACAGCTGAGTTTCTTGTCCGTTCTTCTTGGCTGAAATTTGCGTTCTGAATGGGCGGTAATGAAAAAAACGACTATTCAAAAATGCTTAAACATAAGTTTCAACCTAATCATATCAGCCTTTAACTGTCAGTGCTTTGCCAGTAGTTGCCACGCTTGGTAAGCAGATTGGCAACCGCAATTGAGCTGCGGAGATGTTTTAAGAAGGATGCTGCTGGCCATCTCTCGATCATTAAATCTTATGCCAAGCACGTGAAAAGAAGGGGCAGCCGGGATAGCATATACCGGAAGTATGTGGCGATTTTTCATATGCTGGGCGAAATTATACCATGTACAAACGCCTCTGAATGTACAATTAGATATTATAGTTCTGGAGGTCGACTCTGTTGGGTATTTTGCTAGCAATGGGGTCCTTAGTCTCCATTACTGACAATGCCTCTTCCCTAAATATACTGTATTATAGTATACTCTCATTCATGTTTCAACCGTGAAGCAGTTGTGTTTGCATGGCTGTGTTTCGGTTTGAAGGGTGGGATATGTCGTGAATTTACAGAGTACAGA